TTTTTAACATTTTCTAATGGTGGTGTGCCTCGTGATTTTTTTCATGAAAAAAGTGTGCCTTTGCACAAAAAAGGTTGAAAAACACTGATCTAGTGCCTCTATAACGTTTGAGTCAAATTATTACATTATTAAAATATATGGATGCAGTATATGTATTGGGCCACAAGAGGCGAGGATTATTGTACTAATCGTTAAAAGGAATACTGTTCTTGGATTGAATGGGAAGAGAAAAGGTTTTCCTGTGTGAGTAGGTGTGGAATTGAGAACCTGTTATGAAACTGGATTCAAAGCAGCTTCTTGCATCACAGATTGGCAAGGAAGGATAAGGACACAGTTGAAGCGGTCTCATTATGTTACAGCTAGGAGTATGTGCTAAGTTCTGCAATTCGTACAGTACAAACAGTTCGTACTGGATTTATTACATTTATTTTTCTTTCCCACTCTGCTTCTGGGGACGAAGATGGGAGTACCTGTGCTTGGAAAGGGAGAATCTAAAAGGAAATATTTTCACTTCAAAAAAAAAAAGAGAAATGAAATGAAATGGCTCTTTTATAACCTTTTTTTTTGTACCGATCCGGGACCGGTACATCCACAGCAAATGCCTAGTTCCCAAGAGCTTGTTGGTCTTTTCACGACATCTGCTGAACTGCCATCGGTAGGAAGGAGGCGGAAGAAGAAGACGAGGGGAAAAAAAAAATATTTTGGGAGAACTGCTTTGACCTCCCCAGTCAGAGAGCAGAATGAATTGGAAATGGAACCTTCATTCGCGTGTTTTTTTCTTCCCCCTTTCCTTCCTTTTATTTGCCTGCAGCTGATTCAAGAGTCTTCCAGTAGCCGATGAAAGAAAGCTGCAACCTCCTTGACTTCACATGGATTTGATGCTTGGGATGATTTAGGCACTACTTTGTTGAGGACCATATGAGATTTTGGTAGTTTAGCCCAAGTGGTAAGTTAAACACATTCTTCTTTATTATAGTGGTTCTCAATTTGTGGTCCACGGACCCCTGGGTGGGGGAGGGAGTTGTCACTGGGCCCCCGCGAAGGCTTGAAGAAATGTTATGACTTAAGTCTTGGTGGTCCGTAGCCATGGTCCATGGCCACAAAAGGTATTTAAAAGGGGGTCCATGGTGAAGAAAAGATTGAGAACAACTGCTTTATTATGTTTTTAACACGTTTCACTATCTAGGCCATTTCTTTTACTATTCCCATTTTAGAGGTAAGGAACTGAGGGTGTGTAGGACCACACCCAACTGGCCATTCTTCCTCCTCAGCCAAGTTGGAGGAGGGTACTCCAAGCCCAGTTTGGGGGGGAAATAGGTACTAGTTCAGAAACCCCCTAGGTAAATTATTCTTAATTTCCTTTATCCCATGATTTGCCTTTAGGCTGATTGTGCCTTTCTCATTCCATCTAATATAGGAAATTGTTTCTCGCGTATCTCTTGGAACCATTATAGTGCGATATGATTATGAATGTTTACTATCCTTTGTAAATATATATATATATATATATATATATATATTTATCATTTTACAACTGTCTAATTAACAAAAGGCAACTCTGGGTGGTGTACAATCCTCATAGATTGCTAGTGCCATCGCAAACCCATCTGTATTTTCATTTCTGTAACTCATGTGGACAAGTGGGGCGATGCTAAGAGATGGGGACTAGTTGAAGACTAGTTGGTGTTCAGGGCAAAGATAAGGTTTGCATTTGAAGAGCAACGCACTTATTTACTTTGTGATATTGCTTATAGTTTGATTCTCGGCATTTCCAGGGAGAAAGAGACAAAGGCAAATTTATTTATTTATATTTCATATTTCTTAACCGCCCATTTCCTTGGAAAGGGGCTCTGTGCGTTGTCCACATGAATAATTTGAATCCTTGTGAGGCATTTTTAATTTGCTTGTGGTTTGTATCGTACCTTCTGGCCTGCATCAGCTTCTATCACCGAAACCAATCTTGCTTGAGAACTGCCTCACTCTCTGTGATTTACTTCTTGTTCCATGTGGATGGTAATGGTGGACATTTTAAGCTGTGTTGTTAAGCCTCTGTGTGCTTGCTTCGGAAAAGAGATGGGCCACATTGTTTGAAATTCTCTTGTCACAGTATTGTGATCCCAGAAGAGTCTTACGAAGCGGCCTACCTACCCAGTCAAATATTTGTGGAAATACCTGGCCAAATATTTGAATTGGCATTTCAATTGACATTAAATATTTGGCAATCTTACGATTTTATTTGGGAGGGGGAGAGAATTAGAGAATTCACAGGTGATTCATTCGGAAGAAGATAGACGGTTAGCTGGTTTGCATGAATTGTTTTTGATAGTTGACATTTTGACAGTTAATTGTATGCAATCAAGGATATTTGATCAAAGGAAGACACACACCCCCCCTGGCATGTAGAAAACATATTTTTGAGTGGGGGTGTGTATGTTACGCATCCAAAATGATTCAGTGGGAGCATGAGTCTATTAGAAAATACTCTCTTACTACAAGACAAACTGATGAAGTTACTCCCTGTCATTCCATACTCATAGATGGACTCCCCAGACACACAACCTAGATGTTTCTTATATCTCTGTCTACTTAGTGTGTGTGTGTGTGTGTGTGTGTTGTTGTTGTTGTTGTTGTTGTTGTTGTTGTTAGGACTTGGGTATACTTCCAAACAAAGCAGTGATCTGCAACCTCCCAACTTGTTTAATGTGCTAGAAGTGACTACACAGGTGAGGAATTCACTTATATGAATAAAGATCAACCTGGAAGGAAATGCTTTGCTTTTTACTAGAAAGTTTCCTATTTTTTTTGTCAGGCAATTATTAAACCCAAATCTCCAAATTATAAATTCAAGTAGAACCAGAAGGTCCACCAGATTTCCAGGGGATATTTTTGGACATTTTGTTGCTCCTGAGTATCATTTCGATTAGACATTTCTACTTCTAAGTTGCAATGAAATGAGATCCATGTGTAGCATATTGCACGTTGTTCAAGGAGCAAGGCATGTTGTTGCAGTTGCGTGACTGCAGTTTGCTAGCCTGCTAGTTTAAATTATTTTTATTTATTAAACAAACTTACGTGGCTGCCCATATATCGGAAGGAACTCTGGGTGGTATATGTATTTGTTCACCACCCAGATATCAATATATATCAATACAGTAAAAAGACCATTTTAAACCATGGCTTCCACTCCTCTTTCAAAAGTACAGAAGAGAGGTTGCAATTATGTGATATGCTTAACCGAATCAAGTGGAAGAGCACATTCACACAAGATGCTTTATTAGTTTTAACTATGGCTAGAGGTAGGGTTTGTTGTTTTTTTAGCTTGATTGTGCTAACACATCCCATTTTGTTTATGGTTAGACACACTACATAAATTAAGAACATGGGTTAATTTTGGAATTGGGTTATGTGAATGCAGCCAATGTGTGTGAATCTTTGGATTATTATGAATCTCAGTAACGTGATATTTTTTCATATGTATTATGCTATTGTTTCATGTCGTTGGATTGGTTTTATTCTTTTTGCCACAGTTGTTAAGCGAGTCATTGCAGTTAAGTAAATCACATGGTTGTTAAGTGAATCCATCTTCCCTGATTGGCTTTGTTTGTCGGACACTGGCTGGGAAGGTAACCAATGGCGATCACATGACCCTGGGACAGTGCAGCTGTCATATATACATGCCAGTTGCTACATGTCTGAATTTTGATCATGTGACCATGGGAATGCTGCAGTGGTGAAAACATTACATCACTTTTTTCAGTGCCGTTGTAAGTTTGAACGGCCACCAAAATGAATGGTTGCAAGTTGAGGACCACCTATATCAATTTGAATCTAACTTCAGCAGGAAAAACGAGTGGTTTAGGAAATTCTTTGCAGTTCCGTTTGTCCTGAAATCCAAAGTGAAAACCACTCCTAATTTTCTTTTTCTTCCTCCCACATCCTGGGATAATGGCTGCTTCCAGAGCAGTGTAACCATGTCTGATGATAAATATCACACTGCTAGCTATTTTCGCCTTTTTTGTGTTTTTTTTTTTAAAGTTGTCAAATCCCTTTCTCTATCACTGCAATTTGAAGCTGGCTTATTAAGGAGACGAGTACAATTACAGACATGTTTGTTCAGAAATAGCCCATTGAGCTCATTAATACTTATTCCCAGATCACTCTCTAGAGGAATGCAATCATTTTTATGGAACTTACTAGGGTTTAATTTTAAGCAGACTTCCTTAAGATTCCGGTATGACTGTTCTCAATATATTTCACATTGTCATGTGGCAAACATTGAATTTAAGATCAAATGGTGGAGCAGTTAAATAAAGTCTTTGGAGCTTTAAGAGGTCATGTGAAATCGAGCATGACAATGTGGGGAGGCTGACTCTCCTCTGGGATCCTGAAGGATTCCTTTCAATTAAGTGTGGTCAGTCTGATGATCTCCAGAGGTTATCGCCTTGAAAAATTCTAACTACCGTTGGCAGCATGTACAAATTATACCATGAAGAGAACTAGCCAATGGCCCATTTCTTACAACACATCATAAACTTGAAGCTCGGGATAAGTAACTCACCAGCGAATTTGGCAGCAAGCACATTTTGGGAAGGAAAGGAAAGTGACTGAATAGATGCATAATTTAACCTGAGGGTCTGGTTTGATTATCCCACTAAGGCAGTGGCTGAGTTTTTCATAAAAAAGACTGAACTGATCTAAGGTTATGAATGGCCTGTTTAAAAAAAACAAACCACCTGATTTCTGAAAGCCAACTTGGGTCTTCAACATTTATTTATATTTTATTTATCCATTTATATTTTATATTTCTTAACCGCCTATTTCCCCCAGAGTGGGGCTCAGGGTGGTGTCCAATATAATGCAGTTCTTGGAAGACCAGTCCAGGCATCTGGAATGGAATAGAGAAGGTAAATGAAACTTCCATGGAAGTTTGGCTTTGACGTGCATGTCTCAAACTTGGTTGGGTTTTTTCCCTTGAAAACGTTTCACTTCTCACCCCAAAAGCTTCATCAGTTCTGAAAGAGATAAGTTTAGAGTTTTCAAAGTTCTGAAGAAGGTTTTGGATGAGAAGTGAAACGCTTTCAACGAAAAAACCCAACAGAGTCAAGTTGCCTTTTGAAAAGCACCTTTGGGACAACCATGACCTGGATGACTGAGAATTTCTATAGACTTTGGCAGGCATGCAATTCAGGCAGAGGAAACCTATCACTTCTGTCTGGAATTGAACCCGGGACCATTCCATACAAAGTAGCTGCTGCCCCACTTTTTGATTGCTAGAGGTAGACAATCAGAGATCACAGAGCCATATGCCGAGGATGTTTCCTGTACAGGTAGTCCTCGACTTACGACCACAATTGAGCGCCAACTCCTGCCCACTTAGCAGTTCGAAAGCATGCAAATGCAAGTAGCTAAATAGGTACCACTTTGGTGGAAGTTGACAGCGTTCTGTGCACCTTTGGCGTATAGCTATGCTTGGCCACATGACCATGGAAATTGTCCTCAGACAGTGCTGGCTCATTGGCCCTTGAAACGGAGGTGAGCACCGCCCCCCCCTTTACAGGTAGTCCTCAAATTACGATGACAATTCAGCCCCAAAATTATGTTGCTAAGTGAGACAGTTGTGAATTCTGTCCCATATAGTTGTTAAGTAAATCCCTGCAGTTGTTAAGCATAACATGGTTGTTAAGTGAATCTGGCTTCCCCTGTTGACTTTGCTTGGGGATCACGTGACCCCAGAACACTGCAGCCGTCATAAATAGGAGCCAGTTGCCAAGGGTCCAAATTTTGATCACGTGACCCTGGGGATGTCATCACAGTGGTCGTAAATGTGGAAAAAATGGTCATGAATCACTTTTTCCCCGGTGCCATTGTAACTTCAAACTGTCATTAAACAAATGGTGAAGAATTACCTGTAGCAGACTGGATAGGGTCTTTATAACANAGGCTGAGGAAGACTCTGGGGGGTGTTCGGAGTCAGAGCAGGGACTAGAGAGGCCTGTTGGCCACCAGGTGGCGTCTGAGTCAGGGAGCAATGAGGAAGAACAGAAGGAGGC